GTGGTGTCCCCTTGTCTTTTCATGCCCCCTTGTCTTGTGATGTCCCCTTGTCTTGTGGTGTCCCCTTGTCTTGTCATGCCCCCTTGTCTTGTCATGCCCCCTAGTCTTGAGGTGATCCCTTGTCTTGTCATGCCCCCTTGTCTTGTCATGCCCCCTTGTCTTGTGATGTCCCCTTGTCGTGTCATGCCCCCTTGTCTTGTGATGTCCCCTTGTCTTGTGATGCCCCCTTGTCTTGAGGTGATCCCTTGTCTTGTCATGCCTCCTTGTCTTGTGATGTCCCCTTGTCTTGTGATGCCCCCTTGTCTTGAGGTGTCCCCTTGTCTTGTCATGTCCCCTTGTCTTGAGGTGATCCCTTGTCTTGTCATGCCTCCTTGTCTTGTGATGTCCCCTTGTCTTGTGGTGTCCCCTTATCTTGTGATGTCCCCTTGTCTTGTGATGTCCCCTTGTCTTGAGGTGATCCCTTGTCTTGTCATGCCTCCTTGTCTTGTGATGTCCCCTTGTCTTGTGGTGTCCCCTTATCTTGTCATGGCCCCTTGTCTTGTGATGTCCCCTTGTCTTGTGGTGTCCCCTTATCTTGTCATGGCCCCTTGTCTTGTGATGTCCCCTCGTCTTGTGATGCCCCCTTGTCTTGAGGTGTCCCCTTGTCGTGTCATGCCCCCTTGTCTTGAGGTGATCCCTTGTCTTGTCATGCCCCCTTGTCTTGTGATGTCCCCTTGTCTTGTTATGCACCCTTGTCTTGAGGTGATCCCTTGTCTTGTCATGTCCCCTTGTCTTGTGATGTCCCCTTGTCTTGTCATGCACCCTTGTCTTGAGGTGATCCCTTGTCTTGTCATGTCCCCTTGTCTTGTCATGCCCCCTTGTCTTGTCATGCCCCCTTGTCTTGTTATGCCCCCTTGTCGTGTCATGCCCCCTTGTCTTGAGGTGATCCCTTGTCTTGTCATGCCCCCTGTCTTGTGGTTTCCCCTTGTCTTGTCTTGAGGTGATCCCTTGCCTTGTCATGTCCCCTTGTCTTGTGATGTCCCCTTGTCTTGTCATGCCCCCTTGTCTTGTGATGTCCCATTTTCTTGTCATGCCCCCTTGTCTTGAGGTGATCCCTTGTCTTGTCATGTCCCCTGGTCTTGTGATGTCCTCTTGTCTTGTGGTGTCTCTTTGTCTTGTGGTGTCCCCTTGTCTTGATGTGTCCCCTTGTCTTGTGATGCCCCCTTGTCTTGTGATGTCCCATTGTCTTGTCATGCCCCCTTGTCTTGAGGTGATCCCTTGTCTTGTCATGCCCCCTTGTCTTGTGATGTCCCCTTGTCTTGTGATGTCCCTTGCCTTGTTCCCTTGTCTTGTGATGTCCCCTTGTCTTGTGATGTCCCCTTGTCTTGTGATGTCCCATTGCCTTGCGATGTCCCCTTGTCTTGTGGTGATCCCTTGTCTTGTCATGCCCCCTTTCTTGTGATGTCCCATTGTCTTGCGATGTCCCCTTGTCTTGTCATGTCCCCTTGACTTGTGGTGATCCCTTGTCTTGTCATGCCCCCTGTCTTGTGATGTCCCCTTGTCTTGTGATGTCCCCTTGTCGTGTCATGCCCCCTGTCTTGTGATGTCCCATTGTCTTGCGATGTCCCCTTGTCTTGTCATGCACCCTTGTCTTGAGGTGATCCCTTGTCTGGTCATGTCCCCTTGTCTTGTGGCGTCCCCTTGTCTTGTCATGCACCCTTGTCTTGAGGTGATCCCTTGTCTTGTGATGTCTCCTTGTCTTGTGATGTCCCCTTGTCGTGTCATGCCCTCTTGTCTTGTGATGTCCCCTTGTCTTGTGGTGCCCCCTTGTCTTGTCATGCCCCCTTGTCTTGTGATGTCCCCTTGTCATGTCATGCCCCCTGTCTTGTGATGTCCCATTGTCTTGCGATGTCCCCTTGTCTTGTCATGCACCCTTGTCTTGAGGTGATCCCTTGTCTGGTCATGTCCCCTTGTCTTGTCATGCACCCTTGTCTTGAGGTGATCCCTTGTCTTGTGATGTCTCCTTGTCTTGTGATGTCCCCTTGTCGTGTCATGCCCTCTTGTCTTGTGATGTCCCCTTGTCTTGTGGTGCCCCCTTGTCTTGTCATGCCCCCTTGTCTTGTGATATCCCCTTGTCTTGTCATGCACCCTTATCTTGTGATGTCCCTTGTCTTGTCATGCCCCCTTGTCTTGTGATGTCCCCTTGTCTTGTGGTGTCACCCTTGTCCTGTCATGCCCCCTTGTCTTGTGGTGTTCCGCTTGTTTGAGTGCCCCCTTGTCTTGTGGTGTTCCCCTTGCCTTGTCATGTCCCCCGTCTTGCTATGCCCCCCTTGCCTTGTCATGCCCCCTTGTTTTGTGGTGATCCCTTGTCTTGTCATACCCCCTTGTCTTTTGGTGTTACACGTGCAAACTTTTTTATGTGTTTTGGTAGGACGTTTCACAGACATAAGCGTTGTTGCTTGAGATGTTTGTCTTGGCTTATCTTTGTTCTAATACTTTGTATTGACATTTATATTTCACGATCCCGTATTTTCTAAGAGTATATTACGTTTTACAAATCTGTTGAGAGAATTAAAACATACTGTTTTTCAAAACATTTATTTACGTCGTATCGATGCGTATGGTATTGGAGAAAATATATTGCGATAAAATTCAGCATCGAAATATAATTATACACTAATAGGGTGAACTGAAACATGACGACAACGAGCATATTACAAACACGTCCCTGGTCTATCAGCATGCCAAAGTGTCTTCCAATGACATGCTGGTACTCTCGGGACCAGTGACTTCTTACACATGGACGGAAGGGCAGATTCATGGAGCTCCGCGTTGTGGGCAATGTGCACCTACACAATACACACCCAGGACAAAGCGGAGACAATTATCACATTTAAAGAAGACAAATCACTCACAACATTTCAGTAAATACCCGAATGACACAGACATACGTTTTAAACTTGATGCAGTGAAACGCCGTTAGTCCCGAAAACCCCACCTTCTGGTAGATTACTATGATTTGTATTATATATATACTGATGGAAATAAATAAGGGAACACTTAGTTTTAGACACATTGAAATGCTATCATGGTTCCCAGCCTACCAAATACGCGTTGGAAACAATGCACCCAAACACATCTCAACATTTGATTCTGACGTGTTGAAATTGTATACGCTCTATTTCCAATGTACTGACAGTAAAGCTTATTTCTCTATATTTTTCCCTTATTCGTTTCTATCAGCATACAAAGGGACTTTACCCCATACATAAAATTCTATAACGAGGAAGATTTTTCCCGACTGACGGAGTGACACTGTATACAGTGTCAGATAATCGTGAACAGCACTGCAAATCTGTACTGTCAAACAATCTAACGAGATAAATGTGCCACGACGTGATGCGTCGGATATGCGATCAAACATAGTTGGTACATAGTTAATGGCCTTGAGTATAGTTAACACGTTTTCAGACATGTACATGATTAAAAAAACATAACCAAATCGAAAGCAGGAACAAGGATATGATTTTTTCAGTTGGCAGGAAACAAAGCAGCAGATGTTTTTTGTCAACATGATCATCTGCCAAGTGTGTCCATGCGAGTACTCCACAAACTGACACAGTTAATTAACCCTAACACCGTTATTAACACTATTTCAGTCACATGACGATGTGTCAGTTTAATGTTCGAGGAATGTCCGAAGGGTCGCTGATCCGTGAGTGAGTGAGTGAGTGAGTTGGATTTAACGCCGCTATTAACCCCAGTTATATCACGGCGTGTCAGTTTAATGTGGGAGGAAAGCCCGAAGTGATGCAGGTATCAGACGTTTACCACTTCAGTTTAACCCACGAGCACGGGTATGGTGCTGAGAAACCTATAACATAATCGGGGCGCACCGGGAATCGAACCCACACTCATAGGTTACTGTCGTGCCCAAGGGACGCAACTCTGCACAGCGATTCGCGGCGCCATAGACGACTGGGCCACCCGTGCCCCCGCTGATCCTAGACATAAACCACTTTTGTGGTATCAACGAGCACGTGTGTGCTCGAGCCGAATATGGGATGCGAACCCACTATTCTGGCACGGCTCAGAACTACCCATGTCCCACATAATACTAACCGATACCCGCACGAAACAGTACTACCGCCATTGTGTTAGTGAATGACGAGCACCTGCCCTCAAATCTTCAAAGTATGACTTGAGGTGAGGTGAAATGGGGTATAACTTCGGCTTAAAGAATATTGCACTTGTATATGCTCGTGTGTGTGGCCGCTTGTACTAGTCCGGGCTTAAAGTGCTAGCCGACAGAGATACTATGCCCTTGTTAAGAAAGGATACCCCACGCTGACATATTTTACTGACTCCGAGCCAGTCAGTCCTTATTTTATACCCTTAATGCCGAGTGTCAGGCAGGGTAACAACAAGTACCATCTGTTTACGTCGTTTGGTATCACGCGACCAGGGAATCGAACCACCGACCTTCAAGAATGATTTGAGGCATAGGTTCCGAGAGGGTTAGTGAGTGAGTGAGTAATGTACAATTACATATGTAAGGGGGTCACGGGTAGCCCAGTCGTCTAAGGTACCGCAATTCGCTGTGCAGAGTTGCGTCCCTTGGGCACGCCAGAAACCGGAGATTGTGGGTTCGAATCCCGGTTCTCCCCGATTATGTTTCTAGGTTTGTCAGCACCATATCCGTGCTCGTGGGTTTCACCAAGTGATAAATGCATCAATTTCGGGCTTTCCTCCCACATTAGGCTGACACGCCGTGATATAACTGGAATACTGTTAAAGGCGGCGTTCAACCCAACTCACCCACACTCACATATGTAAGGTTGTAAGCGTTACCAAGCGATGCGCCGGCTTTAGCCAAATTCCATCACTACTGAAGCGGGAAACGCTTAGAATGGACTTCACATATAGTACTAATGTTAGCAGTCGAACAGGGTCTTTCGCGTGACGAGCGATCGCTTCAACTTCTGGGCTACCGTCTCTGTGTAAGACGTTATGGAGATATATTTACATAGAAAAACATAAATGAATTGTATTGATCAACATATTTACAAAACATATACAACAAATGGATTTCAACATATCAGATAGCATCAGGTTTCAGGTTAATTACCTGGGCACTTGTACAGCTTACAACAAGTCATACATACAGAAAAACCTCGAAATTCCTTACTTGGACACCTCGCAATCCGAACACTGCACACACTTGTCAGAGGGGTACACAAAGTATGTGATCTAGACTACCAGCTGTCGGTCTTTCATTTTTGTGGAAGCCTCGGTGGCTGAGCGGGGTAGATCGCTGACTTTGTGTGCTGGCGATTAGGTGCCTCACTCTGGCAGTGTGGGTTCGAATCCCTGACGGGACGAGAATCTGTACCTTACTGAGAAAGTGTTATCCCAAACATAACATTTGTTACACTTCACACCCTTCATATTTGGGCACACAAGCCTAATCAAAATATTGCTACTGACTAATCGAGCAAGTCCACGCAACCGAAGTTTACGTTTATAAAGATTTACATATGTGTAACGAATTGACGGACGGTATGTTCAGCTGGGCACATTGTACTGGGAATATCTATGGTAATAGACTTGGTCCCCTCAGATCAACTTGTGTAGGCTTTCGGAACAGCAATGATGGAGTCTGCCTCTGAAAAATATAATCATTTGATGTATATATAAGTTAATGCTTGAGCTGAATAACTTATGTATCATAGACGTGCGAGTATTTACAACCAACAGAGGTATTCATCAGATATTTTGGACATATTCGTTGTTTGCAATGGTGAAGACCCGCCGTCGAGGCCATGTGTACATTGCAAGGATGCAGGTCGGAGGGAGAGAACGTTTAATGGCATCTTCACTCTTAATCCCACATATAGTCTTTTACATGTATCGTACCGATGAAATGCAAAACAGATATAAATTCAAAAGCAACCAATTCGTCTTAAATGGCATGAACGTTGTTTATTTGTCCATACCAACTCGTCACCATAATTTCAGATATTGTCATGTATAGAGAAAAAGTTGTTTAAAAAACTCTCATGTAATTGTTGGTGTATTAATGCCTGTTGTTACAAGGGGATCTACACTGTAGACTGAACAGCCCCACATTTGCACGTGAATTGTTGGGCCAACCCACTAGTTTTGTCTGTAATAAATTCATCTCAAATGAAAAGTCTAAATCAGAAGCGTATCTTTCTGTAGTAGTTCTTAAACGGAATATACAATGAAAAATATTCTCAAAGCAATGTTATTGATGTTCTTGGTATTGCTATTCACCTAATTTCAAATACAAATAATAAAACAAACAGAACGAGCTCAGTGTATCATTACAATACGGTACATGAATGGAATTCACAGGGGATTTGAAAACCTTGGTATTTCACGTTCATGGTTATTGCAAGTCGGAGGGGGTGCACGGACATATGTTGAGAGGGAATTAAAGCTTCATATTATAAAATCGCGATATGGCTGCAATATTGCCGATGCGATGTAAAATTATAACTCACTCACTCACTCATATTATAAAAGCGAGGGATTATAGAAGTTTTGAGACTACCCCTGTGTTACGCGATGCCCTTCAGCTGTTATGTTTATTGCGCAGACCCCCTTGTAACAAAAAGCATTGAAACACCAACAATTACATGATAGCTTGTTGAACAATATTTTCTCTACTTCATGACAATATATCTATATTGCATTTCATCGTTACGATTTTGCAGCAAACGGGCTATAATCCCTGAACAAATAACCATACCTTTCCTCCAGACACGGCAGTACTAATAAACGGATAAATGAACTTGTGATGTCATAAAAACTTCCTCATAAAATGAGGGAATGGGTGTTACATCACGGATGTCTTGAGTAAGTGAGTGAGTTGGTTTTTAACGCCGTTTTTAACATTATTCCAGTTATATCACGGCGTGTAGTTTAATGATGGAGGAAAGTCCGAAGTGATACAGGTCTCAAACGTTTACCACTTCGGTGAAACCCACGAGCACGGGTATGGTGCTGACAAACCTAGAAACATAATCGGGGCGAACCGGGATTCGAACCCACAATCAAAGGTTTCTGGCGTGACCAAGGGATGCAACTCTGCACAGCGAATCGCGGCGCCTTAGACGACTAATGTCCCGGATGTCTTGAGAAGCAGCCACAATAGTGCATGTTATACATGTCTTTGCTGGCATCTGCAACACGATTAAGGTGCTGAAAAGTCAACGATCATAATCAGGGCTAACCTGGCATCAGCGGATCCTTGTTCTACACCGAAGATTTCTCTATGCGTACTGCATGATGCTTCAGTCACTGCATTACAAATAACCCATTTTTTTAAATTGACCTCACCATTTTCGTGTAAAATATGATCCAAAATCATTCCAATAAACGTTTTCCGCTTGCTGTCGTCACTGGATCTGGGGAAGACATCAAAAGTCCTGTGCAAGAAAAAAAAAGGGTAACGTTACATGTTAAGATGAACTTAAACGTTAAGTTTTCTAAAAGCAAATTGTTATGTCGATCACCATTTAAGAACGATAAATATATATCATTAAAATGTAGCTTTGAAAAAAGCGTTTTTCCAAATAAAAGACATGAAATAGAAAATAGGTCTGATGACCAAAGTGGAAATTAAAAACACCAATAGCAAGAACAAAATATACCTAATATTGAAAATAAATGTATTAAAAAAAATAAGACGTTAGAGACTGTATGTACACGTGCTGGTAACCCTGTATGTACACGTGCTGGTAACCCTGTATGTAGGTAACCCTGTATGTACACGTGCAGGTAACCCTGTATGTACACGTGCAGGTAACCCTCTATGTACACGTGCAGGTAACCCTGTATGTACACGTGCTTGTAACCCTGTATGTAGGTAACCCTGTATGTACACGTGCAGGTAACCCTGTATGTACACGTTCAGGTAACCCTGTATGTACACGTGCAGGTAACCCTCTATGTACACGTGCAGGTAACCCTGTATGTACACGTGCAGGTAACCCTGTATGTAGGTAACCCTGTATGTACACGTGCTGGTAACCCTGTATGTAGGTAACCCTGTATGTACACGTGCAGGTAACCCTGTATGTTTATTAACAATCCTCCACCCATTAGGATTGTGGGTAAGAACATACAACTCTTAACGTATGCTGGTCATAAAAAAACCCAGTTAAATGGATCGGGTGGTCAGGCACGGCGGCTTGGTTGATTGCATGTCCATTTGCGAAGATCGATGCACATGATGTCAATCAATGGTTTGTCTGGTCCAGACTCAGCGATAAACAACAAACAAACAAAACGTACCACCCTATGTGGTAGCCACACCGGGGACATAGCGATATTGTCCACGTGTATCCGGGGAACCAGCTGTCCTCCACGTAGGCCTGAAAACATACACGTATTTAATTAAACTGAGGCTAGGATTAAACTGCATTCAGAACTACGGTTATATCGTACTTAAAATGGGTGGTCTCTTTGAGTTCATTGTGACTGTAGTTTATTGTATTTTGATGAGGTCATTCAAGAAACAAACCAAACTAATGCAACGTCTCCCGAAACAAGTTATTGTTACGACATAGCGACATAACATCTCAATTTCACACACTGATATACAATGCTTAGTCCAGGTAGGATAGTTGATCACTTTACATTATGTTTCAGTTTAACTTTTTTGCCGAGACCATTTTGAGTATCTGTCCACGACTCATAGCAAACACATCACGGAGGGTTGACACGTATTTTCCATGAAGGGGATTGGCAAGTCCTTTTAAGCATTAGGTGAGGTGAAATGGGGTGTAAGATGCATTCAAGATTATTTCACTTATATTGACCTTTTTCACACTTTCGCCATCTTGGATCGAAAACGAGGCTTGGAGGGCACAGCTCCATGCAGTGTGAGTCGCATCAGCTCATAGCGAACAGACCGCATGTTGTGCATTTCACTCATGGGCTCAGAAGATATTTCACATTTAATCATGAGGTCCAACTAAAATATGCCTGTAATACACTGGAATTAGCATTTTGCTGTCAGGACCCGAAGTGAATCGAAAGGTGCATTTCGAGATACGTGTTTCAGAAACAGATTGTTTTATCATAACCTCGTCGGCATATAGGTACAATGTGACAGTTCATTAAATGACAGAAGTTTTGTTTCGTAAATGAACCGCATAACACGAAACAAGTCAGTATACTTTTGCAGTTGTACTCAATGCGTGGCTTGGCGAACTCGAGATCATCGATCATGTTTATAGTGGTGTTTGCTGCACAACGCACTATCGTTTTGCCATGAGTCCAGTTGACAAAAGACACTTTTTCTGCTATGATTTTCATCTAAACATATTACGATGTAAATGAAATTAGTTCACAAAAAAATTCGTGTGTCAAAATAAATATTTAGAAGGGGCGATAACTCTATTCAGTGTGTACAATGACAGATGATACTTTACTTGTTCTTCAAACATCACTTACTTAACTGATTATTGCCGATTGAGATTGCACCGTGCACGACAAAAGTAATAATGTGTTCACTGTTTAAAATAAGTTGAAAGGAAACTAAAAATTGATAAATATAAATAATGCATGAAATTGAAGAAATATAAGAATTGATACAACCACCAACTTCTTGAACACCCTCACCTAATCCTGTATGATGATAGGTAATTGTATATCAAAAGGAAGCTACTAATACATTTATCCTGAATAGTTTGAAAATGTCTAGATCAGATATGAGTACAGATAAAATAACAAAAGATAAAAAGGAATCAACTTCAATTGGTAATCAAGCCAAGATGAAATATATGTTGATGTATATGTACAAATTATGTTAGGTTATGTTATGTGGAACAATCTGGATTTCTCATAATATACAAAGAAAAACAAACCGAAATTTTAAAGTCTTTATTTCTCACAATATAAGTTTTCAAAACTTAACATGGACCGGGTGTCTTTGTCAGTCTAAAGCACCTAAGTAATTCCAGGAGAAAAAAAATTTCTTGCTTGTAAACAAATGGTACAATGTGCTTCTTTAGTGTCTGATAAATATTGGCCATGTTGTTTTGTGAGTGAATAAGGCTTTTCTCTTCCTTGTCCTATTTAAGTGAAATGTGACAGGAAGCACATTTGTTGATAGAATGAATATGGCTTTTCAATTCCTCGTCCTTTGACAGGACGCACATTGTAACCAGTGTGTTACTGTCAGCAGAAAGCTCCTCCAGACATCCATCACCGGATACTAGTACTTCATTGTGTTGACTCGCTGGCCTGAAATTAATAATTTAATAACATTGTAATAATATTTCTACTTCAATAAAATTTTTTATAAACAATGCATATTCACCTTCTCTCAAAATATTGCTTATTTAGAAAACAACATTCTTCTGAAATAGAGAAATTTAAGGAAAATTAATCACAGTGTGTAACATTACATGCTACAATCTTGAAGGCATCAATTCATCTGATATGTCTAAAACTCAAACAGTAGCCTGCAACCTCGGGGTATCGCGGTACTTGCCATGTACGCTAAACGGAACAAAATGCACTCACTAATCTTTATGTTTATTCGTGTTCTCTGTATCAGATATCATTCATGTTATCAAACAATGCATATTTTACTTATAAAAGTTCATTATTTACATCAGTAGCTCCGAGTAAAAGCCGGGCCTCGCGCTCTGTTTGACAAGGGAGAGAACTCCATCGTATCGCGGTACAGAGAAAAGTTGTGTATGGAGGTCCGAATTGGACAAAAAGAGGACATAATTCTACCAACCACTTGGTATGATCATGCCAGACATCAGTGATTTGTCCAGACAAGTGCAAAGACAGCACAAGTAAAATTCTAAATGTGTTATCAGCAATAGGTATTCAATGCATATTTACCGAAAAGTAAGAGAAAAATATTTTTATAAGTCAACATCAAAATATCAGAAATGATATTTTAAGATTGTTTAAAAAAAATTGAATGACAATAATTTGTCACAAAATGGAAAAATGTTAAAAGTCAACAATAAATATATATAAAGCACTCCTAGTATGCCCAAAGTATGTATTTATCTTTTGGTTACTAGTGAAGAACGTATTTCTAAGTTTGGCATTATGGCCCTTATGATCTCCCAATAGATTCTGGGCACAGAGCGGGATAAAATGTGCGGACTACGTAACTTCCGTTACCTCATTAGTCGTCATGAATATGCAGATTATCTAGTTCAGGTCGATAGAGAAAGTTTACTTGGGGAACTGCGGGTTATATCGTTGGCCATTGATAGATGGGGGTAAGGCAATATTACAACAGATGCCAGAAATATGTATCAACGGATTAATAACTCCTTACTTACAGCAAAATTTCACATTCCGAGGAAATTGAAATTGTTTACGAAGTGAGCACTTCCTGGTTACTGATTAGCATTAATAGACAGCTACTAAGAGGCGTGTCCCGCGTGAACTACCGGAAATCACAAATGCCGCGATACGATGAATGCCGCGGTACCATGGGGTCCGAGTATATATTCTGTGTAAACAGTAACTCAACAGATGCATCAATTTAATGACAGTGTACTACAGGTCTTTATATCAATGTCACACAGAAATTCACTCTTGTTTTAATGAAACACGTTTTGATATTTGTATTACCGGTATGTATTTAATCATGAAATACTTTATTTCGTCTGACCATGCTGAAAACATGCTTTCGCTAGAGTGAAATAAATAAGATTTTTTATTAAAATCAGGTGAAATATCACGTTTTGTCACACCTACAGTCAGTCTGCCTCATTGACACTATGGTTTTCTGAGTAATGTCATGAAGATCACAAAGAAAATATAAGACTTGAATTTATTTTATCAAATGAAATGTTTATCTCTTCTTGTGGTTTACTAAGTTGATATCTTGACTTGAAAATATTAACTTTGTCAGATCACAAGATGAGATAAATTCATGCTATCATCGTTATTTGACAAGGAAAACAAATTTCTTCTGTGTATTTATATTTTTATATATTTCTCGTTTTGATTGAATTATAAAAATTATCAAAATAATCACACCACTTGACTTGACTGAAATAAACTAAAGTTCTAAAGATTGTTAACAATAGTAAAATATTACATCATAACAATATGATTATTGCAAAATGACACAGTAAGCACAACTATATTCTTACATATAAATTGATATGATTAATAATCAATAATATATGGCAATTGCTTGCACAAAAGAAATCATTTTGTTTTAAAAGTTTCAAAACATGTTTGTGGACATAAAACCAGATGGGTTTCACAATTAAACATAAGGAATAAATGAGTTATGATTGCAATACGCATGGGAATTAAAAATAATTCTGTTTATACTTTAAGTCTATAGTAATGTCAATATCAATTTATGCATTTGAAATATTTGAATACAAACTGTTTAAGAGTTATCTGTTTCTGTAAATTATATAAAGATCACATGTAGATTGAACATTAACTGGCCATTAATTAGTTGGGGTTTTGTTCATTTCATGACATGATTAATTTGGTACAGTAAAGTAAATATCAATTTGGTATAAAATATTGTTTACAAAAATGCAGATCAAACTGTACTTTACTTCAAATATTTACACACCCTTTATGTAATAATTCAGTTGAAATATTACACCTCATGCTATTTAATCTGTCAACATTGACAATCAAAATAACAACTGTTCACAATCACAACAGCACAAGTAGATCTAGAGGTCTAATATTTTATTGGAATGCATTTGAGTCCATTACAATTTAAATCAAATACGCAACTGATGCAAAATTCTGATTTGTTACGATTGTAAATTCTCAGTAGGTTACAATTTGATACATTATATCAACATATCAATTTAGTTATTAAAAGGTTAATATTTTGACTTCAAATACAACCCGCAAAGTTATTTAAACTCACAATAAATAGTTTGGCTTAATGGTGTGTAAACAATGAATTATTCTTTACAAGATGTCAGTAGCATTTGTATTAAGTCTGTTCAGCTACCATAAACTGCACTGGGAGTTACCAGGTGGTCATGGATATTATAAATTGAAATCACAACAGAACGGCCAGACTCCAATTAATATCGGTAAGGAGACCAGATAACAGTAGAATAGTTTGTCAATGATAAGAATAAGAATAATGTTCAATACTTACGATAAATGTACCGGGATGGTTAAATTGTCACAGTTTGTCCCGATTGCGTGTCTTGTTGACATCTCCATGTGTTTCATGTGCTATAGAGCCTTCACCTTCTGCTCTCCAAGCCTCGCTTTCAAACCGGAAGTAGCGAAGTGTGAAAAAGGTCAATAACGGCGTGCATGCACGAGTGTGGGTGGAGTGGGGTAAGGGGGTGGGGTGGAGAGTCTGCTTGCACTTGTCCGGACTAATGCTAGTTTTATAGCGCTTGCACACTGAGGTACCATGCCGAAGTTTATCTCGAATACCCCTCACAGACCAGTCCTTGTTTTACTCCTGATGCCAACGCAGAAAAACAAGAAGTACCATCATGGAACGTATTTTGGTATGACGCGGTCGTAGATCGAACCACCGAAATTTCGCGCTCCGGACAGACTCTCCATACACCAGGCCACGGAGGCGGCCTCTTACCATTGGGCAACACCAAACACTCTTAATAAAAAGATGCCTGCGTTCAGTAACTTCACAGGAAGGAATGTAACTGTAACTTATTTAACTAACTTGTCATGAGAGACATGGAATTATCTTCACAAACTACACCAGTATGGAACCCATGCTGTTCGCGGGACGAGTGATCACATACGCCCTGGCGACCCCATCGACCGACGTGGCTGTAAGTGCGGGCAGGACACACGTACCTTGTCATATGTTTGTAGTTCAGCAGCTGTCGAGGTTATTACTTCAAAAAAGTTGCCTGAAAATAACATACAAGGTGAGAATGAGTGACATTTCACCCACATAGCAACAAGAGCAAATTATACATTCAGATACAGTTAACTACGGTTAGAACGAACTCAAAAGGGACCACTAATTTTAGTTCGTTGCAACCGTAGTTCGTTATAAGCACATATGCAGTAAACTACAGCAAATTGTAGGGACAAAAAAGAAAGTTTGTTATATCCGTCAGTTCGTTGTAAGCGTGTTTGTTATAAACGTAGTTTACTGTACAAGGTAAGATGAAGCAGGTTCTCTACTGTTGCGGGGAGTTCGAGGAGCGGGAATGTCATCCAAAGCGAATGTAGTCTGAAGTCTCCTGCAACTATTTTGCTGTACAGAGATTGATAGCCTGTCTCACAGTCCCTAAACCATATTACTTTCCCTTCGACACCGCCCAAACAGTAATGTCACAGCCCCAAAATAAAGTAAGTCTTTTCCACAGGACTCCCATCCCATTAGGGCTCCTTTTTCAATTAACATGTACACGTAGTTGCCAGATTCTAACAAAGCTGTATCTTTTAAGAGACGAAGCTCCGATCTCGCACGGACTCTTTTCAATTTGAACGTAGTTGTTTGTTTCTATCACAATTGCATATTTTAAGAGACTAAGCATTAGTCTAAGAGGTTGGTTGCTGAGGGAACGATGCCTCAGGTCATATCAGCTCTACAGTTCAAGGGGTTGAAAAGGTTAATGCTACTGGAACTGTGTTAATGACTCGAGACCCGTGGACCCTGGGGTCAGTATACGTCTCCTGTATCTAATGCTTCTCAAGCGAAAAGGGGATTGGACGGTTAGGTTCAGTGTCATCGTGACCTTGTCTGGCCACGATGGGCCGTTGTTCATGCCTTCAGTCACTGGCCTGTCAGTTCAGATTTATTTGCTTCCCGTCATATAGATGGAACATTGATGCGTGTGCAGCGTTAAACAACATTCACCCACTCAATCTGTAAACCTTGAAATTACATGCTTGCAGTAAAAGGCGACTATGCTTGTGGTGAGAGGCGACTGAGGGATCGGGTGGTCAGGCTCGCTGACTTGGTTGATGCATGTCATCGTATCCCAATTGCGTAGATCGATGCTCACGATGTCAATCACTGGATTGTCTGGTCCAGACTCGATTATTTACAGACCGCCGTCATATAGCTGAGTACAGCTTTTAAAAAACACTCAAACAAACAAAATAAACAAACAAACCTTGCAATTAGGAAGTACACATACAATCGTGTATTTAGCTGTGGTAAGCCAATTGGATCCGCAGAAACATGTAAAGTACACACACATACAATCGTGTATCTAGTTGTGGTAAGCCAATTGGATCCGCAGAAACATGTAAAGTACACACACATACAATCGTGTATCTAGTTGTGGTAAGCCAATTGGATCCGCAGAAACATGTAAAGTACACACACATACAATCGTGTATCTAGTTGTGGTTAGCCAATTGGATCCGCAGAAACTTGTTAAGTACACACACATACAATCGTGTATTTAGTTGTGGTAAGCCAATTGGATCCGCAGAAACATGTAAAGTACACACACATACAATCGTGTATTTAGCTGTGGTAAGCCAATTGGATCCGCAGAAACATGTAAAGTACACACACATACAATCGTGTATTTAGTTGTGGTAAGCCAATTGGATCCGCAGAAACATGTAAAGTACACACACATACAATCGTGTATTTAGTTGTGGTAAGCCAATTGGATCCGCAGAAACATGTAAAGTACACACACATACAATCGTGTATTTAGTTGTGGTAAGCCAACCTGATAAGCAGAACCTACCCTGTGGGTTTTTAAACAGCTGTATGAGAACTCCAGTCTGCCCTGAAATAGTATCATTCCTTTGTCTGTGAGCCAGGTCACTGGGCATGGCCAGGAGGTCAGCAGCCTTGGCTATCTCGTTCCCACATCGCCGACACAGTAAATACCCTGAACAGAAAAGCACAGTCAGCATTATACATCAGCGGTACGTTTTCTTTGTTTCGTTTGTTTGTTGTTTAACGCCACACTCAGCAATATTCCAGCTATATGACGGCGGTCTGTGTAAATAATCGAGTCTGGACCAGACAATCCAGTGATTTATAAGGGAATCCATTTATAAGGGAAAGTTGTACCTAACATAAATTATTGTTGACGGGTTGGTGACACTCTCGTTTGTTCGGGCTTGGTATCCTTTCAGACAGCCATGCCTTTATTCACTCTCGGTACTTATGAGCTTCTTAAGTACATACATGCATCCATCCATCCATCCATGCATCCATGCATCCATCCATACATATATCCAAAAAGCAAACACACATACACGTTTGTGTTTAACGAATTAACGATATGTACCAATGAAAACCACAAAGACAAACACGTTTGTGCATAGGTATATTCCCGGATGAATGCATTCATACATATACAAATACAAAAACCAAAGCAGACACACACGTTTGAGCACAACGACATACCCGGATCTTACTGATAAAATATTATGTACATTACACAATAAGAAAAATGCAATAGTATCGTCTGAGGCATTAGTATACAAACAAGGATTTGGCGAAGTGCGGGTTTGGAGACTATAGACATGACGTGGCACTTATTCTGGACATTCTCTGAATGTAAATAACTCCCTACAGTAATGTCTGGGGGACAAGCGTGATGCCCCTAATTTAAAAAAGAAACTCCGATCAACTTGGGCTGACTGCATAATCATCCATCGGTGATTGAGGAGTTGGTATTTTACGATATTTTATACATATAAATGGGATATACGGTACGCTATGGTGGCGATGCACTACGTACACGATGATAATATTTACACACCACAGCCTAAAGACTCTGTATCTCCCACAGCTGATTCTATTTCGCAACAGTACAAATATAAAGTTAAAATCACAAAGGTAATAAACAGAGGGTCCCAATACGTAAAATAAAACCCTATAACATATGTTGAGACACAACAGCTATACATCACATAGCAGAACAATACCACGCCATAACGGAATAGGCCGACCTGTCGGCTAAAATAACACTTTAAACATAGAGACTAGATAAAGCCACTCAAAAAACACAAACTCAGTCATAAAACCAAACAAATTGATAGGGCAATAACCAAACTGCAAACAGGCCACACTACATTGAACTCATACCTACACCATATTAAAGCCATCATTGCCCACATTGTAACCAAACAGAAACCCCAGAACACGTATTACTACATTGCACACACTACCAACAACATAAAACCCCTCAAGACTACAATAAACCACAATAATCAGATGACACTACAAACTCTAATACTCTTAAATAACTTACAAACCTATAAGGCACTAGGCACATACCTAATCAAAACAGGTCTACTCGGCCGCATCTAAAATAAACAACAATCTACAAATAAAACAAAACCCCTAAATCTATAAAAACACAAAACGACACAACCTCACTAACTCCCCCAGTACCCCCACCTTTTGGTGTGGCATATTTCAAAATTCCAAATTTCCACCGAAAGTAATTAAGCAACCCTAAAAGCCTCTCCTGGTTGCCCTCGTTTCGGAAATACCCTTTTCGGCCATCTTACTAAATGGCCTGGCCGGCCCGTGTGCGAAATACGCATAATGGCAGAAAGCGCACGTTAAATGTCCAACATTAAGTAGGTAAGAGCATACCAGATGTGCATATATATATCATATGTGTGAACAAGTCAGAGTGACAATACATATACATATATATATGACAATGCAACACAAACTTGATAAGTTTACATGACGAGTACGAGAATACAGCAGTTTCTGCTGTGGCTATATTCAAACATATGCCACACGGCTGTCAGCGGGACGGTGGTGATGTAAGGGGGGCAACTCTTTGGACCTTGTAAGTTCCGAGTGAACAACTCGTTCGAGCCATTCGGACATGACCGGTAACTGTCGGCAATATTCGAGCTGCGTCATTCCCAACAGGAAAGGTGACAACTCTTTGTTGAAATAGGTTAACAACAGTTTCGTGCCTGTCAGTGCATCGCCGTCCTGATACAGTGTGCGTGCTCGAGTTTGCATCTGTAATTTAAGTTGTCGGGATTTAATTAATTCAGCGTTTGTCCAGCTCATGACCGATAATGTTTAAATTGATAATTGTTGTCAAGGAGTACGCATTACCCAAATTACTAATCCCATTAAGAAAAGAAAAACAACATATGTTTTTATCCAGGCATGTTAGATGAGGTAATGTTTGTTTGTTTGTAGTTACGCCGCACTCAGCAATATCCTAGCTATATGACGGTGGTCTGTAAATAATCGAGTCTGGACCAGACAATCCAGTGATTGATATCATGAGCATCGATCCACGCAATTGGGATCGATGACATACATCAACCAAGTCAACGTGCCTGACCACCCGATCCCGTTAGTCGCCTCTTACGACAAGCATAGTCGCCTTTTACGGCAAGCATGGGTTGCTGAAGACCTATTCTACCCCGGATCTTCAAGGGTTACATCAGAGAGTTAGGAAATGGAAAAGATTACGACGGATTGTTTGTTTGATGGACGACCGTCACCGTGGCGCGACATTGAAGGTGTTCTTTCAACTGGCGTATATGTATATGTAATTGCTTGTGTCTACTATCAAAAATATATATTTTCAGATCTGAGCGTCAGTCTCCATGCAGCAGGTACTGCACTAAACCATATGCTGTTAGAAGAGCGAATAGACGTCAACACACCTCGATATATTCACCTCAACAGTATATGATATGTAAATAACTTCTCAAAAGAAGTTAAAGAATACCCGATTCTTCCATATCACATATACTAAAGGTAATCCGTCTTATTACTTTATTTAATGTAATCTGTCATGACAGAATAACTATAGTAACATCAAAGAAACGGCTTTCCTTCTTTTGAGTCGTATATATGCTTTGCTTTGACAAAAATTGAAAGTTTGGACCCAAGTTTTGACCGCTTGGTGTGGTGTGTGCACTTGTGCTCAGCACGAATGAAATCATTTCACGTCTCTTGGCGGAAGAGCGGCACGTATACTGGGGCCCTGTTTCCGCGTGCAAGTACCTTTTTGAAGCCGGCTGGACCAGCCGAACTGAACACCGCTATCGTACTGTATGTTATCCATGAAGTCCGAAATGTGAACGTTTTATTACAGTTTTAACATTAACCCTGCCTAAAGGAAACCAAGTACAGTAAACTACAGTTATAGCGAACTCAAAGGGACCCGTTTTAGTTCGCAATAACCGTAGTTCGTTATAAGCATATATACAGCATAATGCAACACTTGGCCGGGGTTAACAAGTAAGTTCGTTATATCGGTCAGTTCGTTATAAGCGTGTTCGTTATAAGCGTAGTTTACTGTATATGTGAATACCGACGTCGTCTTACTTTGCTTGTTCAATTCAAATATCGCATTATAATATGTGGATAATTTTTCGTGGAGATGTGTTCGTGAGGTCAACAACTGTTTCTTCTAGCCCGGACTCGATTAACTGAAGCCCACATGAAACAGGTGGAATATTACTGACGCAAATTAAGAAACAAATATCATTGAAGTGTATAGGGCTATACGGGCGTATACTAACATGGCTTCAAGCCTGGTGTCAGGTCTATACAGTATCGTGTTCATATCTATGGACTGGTCTTGAAACGGTTTTGATTGGCCTTGCAGGGACAGGTTAAATAATAACAACACGCACGTCTTAGTTGTGATAAGAGTGAGTGAGTGAGTGAGTGAGTTGGGTTTAACGCCGCTTTTAACATTATTCCAGTTACATCGCGGCGTTTCAGCTTAATGTGGGAGAAAAGCCCGAAGTGATGCAGGTCTCAGACGTTTACCACTTCGATGAAACCCAAGAGCACGGGTATGGTGCTGACAAACCTAGAAACGTAATTGGGGCGAATAGGGATTCGAACCCACAATCATAGGTTTCTGGCGTGCCCAAGGAACGCAACTCTACACAGCGAATCGCGGCGCCTTAGACGACTGGGCCACCCGTGCCCCTACATGTGATAAGAAGTTTTATTTGTAGCAGTTATAAACTAGTAAAAAGGAATGTTAATACACTTTATGTATTACTGTGTTGCCATAAACTGATAAGATTAACGCTTGCTTTACAGGGCTGAAATGACGCGATACACTCATGATGTGTCGCTATATTTAGAGCGTAAAGCTGTCCACGAGTGATTTGATGCCAGGTTTAGCATCAATGAGCGAATACCTAAAATACCACTACCAATGAACCGTGTCAGGGATAGCAGACTCGATTATTTACAGACCGCCCTCATATAGCTGGAATATTGCTGAGTGCGCGTAAAACAACAAACCCCCCAAAAATCCAAATATTTGAACACAATATAGTGGGTGGTTCGCGTGGCAGTATCTACCTTCCGCTATAGAAAAAGATCTGTTTGTGAGTAATCGAGTTAGGGTCAGGTAAACCAGTGGTTGACAGGACGAGCAACGATCCGCACCCTGGTGACGCAATGACACCCTCGCGACAGCCTGGTCACACACCGTGGCCACCCGATACTCAAAAGTTTGATACTGAATTTGTTTCGAGAAAAATACCTTGCAACAATGTTATTTTTGTGACAGGCAATTTCTTTTTTGTTCAACAGTCTGAAACATAATTATGTTTTTCCGAAAATGTCGGGGCAATATGTTTTTTCGATACACGGTTCACACGGTGAACTGAACTATCTCACCTAGCAATACCCTGAGATACCCGTGGGCATGCTGTTAAGCATATCCATTAATGAATACATTCTCATAATTACGCTTACGTGTTATGTGAATATGCAATTATCTCCGCAATCTTGAGATAACCATAGGCCATTCTTGACGACGGCCAGAGAGGGCGAACGAACTTTGGTCCATCCGATTGTACTCACGACATATAAACGTGTTACTGTTTTCGGCCCTTACGTTTGATTCATTTCATGAAACCGAAGTATTCGACATGTTTCGTCATTCCGCTGCGCGTGAATATAATTTTTAATAGTCGACACATTTATGTTTCATACATAGAAGAGTGAGTGAGTATGGTTTTACGCCGCTTTTAGCAATATTCCAGCAATATCACGGCGGGGAACACCAGAAATGGGCTTCACACATTGTACCCATGTCGGGAATCGAACCCGGGTCTTTGGCGTGACGAGCCAACGCTTTAACCACTAGGCTACCCGACCGCCCCCATACATAGAAGAAGTGGTTGTTAGTACACATTTTACATATACTCGAGCAAACAACGACTGATATTAACTAAGAACTAGCGGTACGGAATTCAACCAAAAAAGTCCATCAGTTCGAAAAGGATCAACACACATGCTTATTCAGATGGGATACGATGATATACATCAACCGAGTCACCGAGCCTGACCACCCGTTCCCGTTAGTCGCCTCTTACGATAAGCAAGGGTTGCTGAAGACCAATTCTAACCGGTATCTTCGCAGGTTTGTTTGTTTGTTGTTTAACGCCGCACTCAGCAATATTCCAGCTATATGACGGCGGTCTGTAAATAATCGAGTCTCGACCAGACAATCCAGTGATTGACATCATGAGCATCGATCCACGACTTGTGGATATCTTTACCCTGTGAAGTAAGTATCGAGGCTTGGGGAGGACATTTTAACATTAATTCAACACTGTATTTCGTTATATTACTCATAGTCTTTTTTCTGTGAAAATGTAGAAATGTGGGTTTTTCTTATCTCAAGGGAAGACACCAGGGGACCGTTCTTCAAAGCGATCGTAGCGCGACGACTGTCGTAAGCCTATGTTACAGTATGATAGTTCGATCACCTTCGCGCTGTGGTCGCTTTGTGGAACAGGGCCCGTTCAGTTACTGTTGAAACGACATCACATAACATCGTCATGGCGTAGCGTTGCTATGGGCCTATTCGCAAACAATGAAACCAATGGAACGATTGTAATCATTCACCTGTGTCTGAGCACTTGTGTTTAAGGGACCGACTATTTCATATTCTTTTCCCTTTTTGGGGAAGGGTGCTGGCTTGGATTTTGAATCGAGATTAGTTATTTTTTTAAGCTCTGAGCTAAGAACATAATTAGTTTTAAAAAATACATATTGCAACAATGTAATTTTTGTGACAGGCAATTTCTTTTTCTTTTTTTCAGAGGTCTGACGCATAAATATTTTTTTCAGAATTTTCAGGGACAATTAATTTGTTTCTATAAAATAGCGGGAATCGTTCAATGAACTCTGCTTTTATTACAGATTTCTTATGATTATGGAAATGTTTTTGTCGCTTTTACTTGTATAATGTTGATTGGCTATAGATCTAGTTCGTTCCAAATCTTTGTAGAATAGATCTTCAGCAACCCATGCTAGCCGTAAAAGGCGGCTATACGTGTCGTAAAAGGCGACTATATAACGGGATCGGGTGGTCAGGCTCGCTGACTTGGTTGATGAATAGCATCGATCCCAAATGCTTGGATAGATGCTCATGATATCAATCACTGGGTTGTCTGGTCCATACTCGATTATTTACAGACCGCCGTCATATAGCTGGAATATTGCTGAGTGAGTACGGCGTCAAACAACAAAACAACTTCAATTATTTGCGAAGAGGTCCATATAATAGCAACGTGACGTCATGTGCTCGCAATGACTTCACAAACGATTTAACGTGACGTCCTTCTAACATTAGGTCAACTGCGGATTCCACAGTTTTTGAGTAATATAAAGAATATCCCATTGGCAGCTCGGAATGTACACATTATTTGTCCTTCGATAAGGATCGGAACTTGCAAAATTACTTCACTCGGAACAGCTAACCTAGGTTATTCCCAGAGAATGTTCAAGCGCGAACCCATATCCTGCAGCTATGGCCTGCTGCCATTCCCAGTTCTGGTAACCTTTCCCCTCAAGTCAAGTGTGTGACTTCAGACTCCATGTACATGATACAGTATAGAGGCCTTCATTCTACAGTGATGCATTATCAGCCAGTGCGTAGACTAACATATAGTTGTCTGAAATGAACATATCGTACAGAAAAAAACAGTTGTTCAGTTATCTTAATAAAAATATAATAAAAAGGGAGCCCAGTGATTCTCTTCATTTTCAGATACTGCAGTAATCTAGACTTGCCAAACATTATAGACTTGCATGGGCTGTAGTTGATATATTTGTATCAGGGTCTGTAAGACAGACTAGCCAGTGCGTTACAGTGTGTCTTTCCACACTTTATTGAGACTTTGCAATATCATGACCATATTATAGAAACTGATATATACATAACACATGCTCGTCTAGCTATAATGTGTATCAAGAGAAGTTATGTGGAACAATATATACGTGTAATATTTGTCCAACAGCAGACAGGCATGTTCATCTGCGGTTCTACGTATTCTGTTTAAAACAGATCTGAATCCGTCTATCGCTAATGTAAACCGAATTCCCATGGGGCGCATGAGATATGAGATATGAGAATATCAAAACACGACAGAAATCTGTCAAAGTTTGTCATCAAGATAGGCTGTCACGCTAGGCGATGACAGTGAATGAATAACTGAAAAGCGTCGTGGTTTTAGTTTTTGAATGGATGAAAATAAACCAACAGACACCACTAGCTGAATTATATGAATGATGTCGTCTAATTTGTGTGTACATGCACCACAACAATCTAATTATTCTATTTTAAGAACTGACAAGACTGCATAATCGATATATTACCTTCAACTCCATCCGCGAAATGACATGCTACATAAGCCACGATGTTTGCAAGGAAATATAACATAATAATGTCAGTGAAGCACCTCAAACATCCTCTCATTTGAAGTGCTGTGGGCGCTGCCATGTTAAAATTGCACTGTGGGTAATAATGTTTATATCATGACCTTTCCCTACCTTGGCTCTTCCGTCTTTTATTTTGCCTCCAGCGTGTAGCTATATTTGGATCTACTGTATTCGCTAAGAGTGTGAAAATATGTCTAACCTGTGATTTTTGAGTTGATGTAAATACTTTGGCAATCGTATCTAGTAACAACGAGAATCATATGCATCACAGATACGCGTGTTTTATAACTTATGTTCTTTTTACTGCTGGGCAACTAATTGAAGTTAGCATCACCGAAAACATGAATTTGACCCAGTTTGTGTACACGTTGCAAATTGCGCCATCAAACAACCAGTAGGCGGAAATACAGCATCCTGACATGTCGAGTGTTCATATTTTGATCAACAAATATCTTCTCGAGTAATTTTAGTACCTAATAACTATATCCTAATCACCTAGGAAACACAAAGAAGGGTGATAAAAATACATAAACAACCTTTGCCCTCGTGACGGACTATATAACCTTGAGCATGATTGACAGGTTCTGCATATTGACCAATCAAATGATGGAGGTGTGCCCCATTCGTCCAATCAGAGGGCTGAACTGCGATCATATGGGTTTTGTTGATATTTTCACTAAGCTCCGCCTCCACTGACACCAAAACAAACCGGCGCAGTTTACCGGCATATGTTTACATCAGAAAGCGGTGACATTGAAGAATATTTGGGGTACATCGACGCACGGGATCTGGAAATTACTACTCAACTTTATCATATGTATCGTTGATGAACCGTTTCAGATATGTTTGGGAACAGAAAGCTGGCGAAGCGATCCATTACAGGAACGAGAATCGCAGCGCTCCAACAAGATGGCCGATACTACCCCGGTATTATTGAATCCCAGACTTCCGAGGAAGGTTTTATAACAAGTGCTATGTATAAGGTCAGATTCGACAATGGGGATTCCAAGGAAATTACTTCAGAAGGCATTGTCGGGCAGGGATTCCGTCAAATGACAGAAATTAACTTGAGAAATGGACAGAAAGTCTTCGTGACCCTGAATGGGAGAGAAGTGTCAGCGATTGTTATTACACAGGACGAGGATAATGTTTTGATAACAGTCACGCAAATGGACGGGGAGAGGCGAGAGATGGTGAAGAGAATTGACGAAGTGAGGCTCTTAGAAAGTAGAAAATCGGCCAGACTAGCTGATTTGGACACAGACTACTCCAAACTTGCAGATATTCAACTTTCCGAACCAAAGAAGAGACCAGTTTCACATGTAATCGACGTGCCGGCAAAGTCACGGTAAGTTTCTATATCGGGCGACCTACTTGTCTGAAACAGCTGATCGCTTGCACCGGCAGTCGGTCTTGTTATGAAATCGTCACGCTGATTTCTTCTTATATTGTATTACGTTAGGAACAGTTAGCACAACTGGCAATTAGACGTGTATTGTCAATGTCCCCTCACTGCTGTGTTATTTTGAGAGCACTCAGAATTGTTTGGATTACAAAGGCTTTACATAATCATGCACAACGAACTTAGAAAATTGCTGAATAAGCCAAACTGGATGCTTCTTAGTCCGAATTTACAAACATACATACTGACAAAGAAATATAAGAGACTGGCTGTCATTATGAGGTAAGTGTTTGTTTCAAAACAGATGTATGGTGTTTATTAGTAGCTTTAGTCATTTATTAACAGTAATATATTTCATGAAGTAACATATGGTATGAGATTTCGTATCAGTTATCAGTGTCATTTCTTGTTTTTTTTGTTCCGAATCTTCATTATGCCCCCGATAATGATAAGCCAAGTCATGTCAGCAATATGTCAGAGCCATATTTAGAATCAGCGGTGGACATTAACTGGAATTATTTTTAGTATTTGTTTTGGCTGATGGTGAATCAATTCCGGATAAATTCAAATCTCTGTTTCCATTTTAATTCTATATTTCAGTATTTTCAACAAATGAAGCAAATCGCACAATATCAGTGTAAAAGATGATTGTGTGTTCCTAAAATCTGTCAAATATACTGATGAAGAAACGGTAAAATTGTGCACTGGCTTGTGATGATTGGTGACGGGGCTCATTATCAATCACTGGTTCTTCTGGCCCAGACTCGAATACTTACAATCCGTCGTCATATAAGCTGAATATTGCTGAGTGCGGAGTTAAACAACAAACAAAACGTTTTAACTTTGCTTCCCTGTACACATAGGCGAGAGAGACGTCACCTAGACTCAGCACTGTATGGAAGCGACGACGACAACGACGATGTCGACATGGTAGATGAACGTGAACATGTGGCAGCGTTCGCTCTCACCAGTCTGTCCAGTAGTCCAGCCTCGCCCTCCTTCCCGCAGTCGTTCAAGGAAAAAGGTCAATTTATAAACTAGCATATGGTGTATAATAAAATATTATCACAGACATCATGCTGATTAAAGAGTGTACACCTTAATATTAATGTATTAATACTGTTTAATGTAATAATGTTTTTTCTTGCGATATGTGACTATGTGTAACTACCGAATTGTCAATTAATTTTAACAAAATCGCCATGCCCTTCTTTATCTCAATAAAGTTATTACATTAATATGCATATATTCAACTGTTTGTTCATTTCAATGGGTCTGTGTGTTTGTTGGCATATATTCATACGATGTGCATTTCGGTGATTCCAAATTCGGAGACATATTTTAAGGTGTTACTTTTTCAGAATTTCTCCGAAGTCCGGGATCTTTCCATGACTATCATTTGTCGAGTAGTGCGGCGAGCAGTGGGTTTGAAAGTGGTCACTCTGAGAGAAGTGACCGGTCCCCACCCCTACCCTCACACTTGAGCGAGAGCGCACCTGCAGCCATTCAGATCAGGAGCCCCACCCCACCCGACGACGTTCTGGATCTCGAGGAAAACATCAAACAGTTTTACGACGCCGACACACAAGAACACAAGGTATGACTGTGTATATCATTATGGGTCATAAACTTATGTGGGGTCCGGAGTTTACCCTGTAAGTTGGGTACGAAGAGAATTCAATAGAAGTAAGGTATATGTCGTATGGTTATCAACAATTAAACACTGTGCTACCCCATCAGACGGTTTCACAACGTTTCATCATGTGTTTATGCCATATGGTCGATGTACCCCATTGTTCCTGTGCTGAACTATCGTCGGTGCATATCTACAGCGACATGTATTGAGACGCGTCATCCACAGGCTAAAGTAAATACAGCTTGTCAGGTACCAAAATAGATCTACTGGCTTCTCTATCTCAGCTCAGACACAGTGGGACTAGTTTGCGCAAATGTACCTCCGTTACACATGTTGTGAATTGAATTAAAAAGTAGACTAACTCAGGTTTACGTTGGAACATTCTGTTTGTTTTACAACAACATTTCCGAGTGGCCGTCCGCTGAGATGCCGACAGTTTAGCCTGACCCGGATAGCAAACAGCTGATTGCCTTGCCGGTGTGCTATATTTAGCTGCAACGCACACCGCCCGAGTTGTGTTGTCCTGTCAATTGTCTCTATCGATCGCTCTGCACAGCTGAATGAATGCTCAGCTCGCGCACTTAGATATCCTGTTTCACACAATAGGAATGAACTCAATGTAGTGCTTTTGGGCGATATAGAGCGTGTATGTAAATCAAATGTGAAGATAAAATAAGTTGCAACTGTACATTCGCAGATTCGGGATGTTTTGACAGCTGAGCGAAACCGGCACGTGCAAGGGGCATGATTTGTTTATGTCACGTGGGCGTGACGTTTTCGGCTATCACGTGATCTATGATTTAAGCGCTATAAATAGTACCTGTAGCTGCGCAGGTTGAACAATTTCTCTGCCTTGGGCAATCTTGAGGTTAAAATATATTATGACTATTAATGTAAAAAATCAAAATAGTTTGGAAAAACCTCTACGATGGAATTCGTAAACAAGGAATATATAGCTTTATATTATAGTTAAGGTTCGCAGTGAATTTCCATACTTTGTAAGTTGTAACATTATGAATATTTATTGAAAGTTTGATACCCTTTCTGTCTTTTCGCAGTCACAACGATGTTGATGACAGTGTTTTGATTAAATGGACAATAAGAACAAAAAACTGATCTTAGTCGTATTTATTTTTAAAATCATAAAATAATAACACAAGAAATCATGAGATGGAAATCTTTTTCTGTGCCTTATTTATTTACTATTTATTTGTTTGTAAACTATTTAGAATCTTGATCTATTTATATATTTTTAGAAATAAAAATGTTCATCTGTTTGATCAAGACATGTCTCCTGCTTTAAGACAGATGAAACCATATGAAATCATATTTTATAGTGAAACTGCAACGTGCCCCCATGAGAGGTCAAGGAAGTATCCCATAATGTATAAACACGAACACAGCCTTTCTTCCTTCCAGAAATAGGTCACTGGAAACTAGGTCAGTTCAGCCAGTTTTGGCAATCCAGAACTGGAAAAGCATTGTAAAACTAGGGCAGTATATCCCCAGAAAATTTGAATGTTATTCAAGCGAGACACTGCCTAATTTACAATGTGTTGATATTCTTGTAATGTAGGTCACTATTCATTTGAAACAAATGAACATATTATTTTGCACTTTATGTTATATATATCTAGTTTTAGCGTTTGTCTGTACACTATAAGTCAATATATTTTGTCACAGAAAATAATTATGCTTTATTCTGATGAAAATAAGAAGACGTTGTCTGACATAAAAATACATCATGATTATTTAACGTTACTTATTTTAAAAAAAATCAATTTGAGAGAATGTTTGATTTGGAATCATTTGACTTTCTTCCTCCTCGTGATCATGAAATTGATGACAGGAAAATTCATTACATAGGTACTTACTTGACAATAAAATGAAATGTAAGATGCCATTGCAATAAATATGAATTTCATCTGATTTCAGATAGGAATATGATATTAGCTGAAATGGACAATGTATTTGTAAATAGTTGACTACTACAGTATGAGACATATGTCCAACTGACAAGAGAGTTGTAAGCAGTGTGATTACAGAGTACCATTGGCCAACACAGGAGTAGTTGAGTTAGCTACAGGCCTGGATTTAAAGAACTAGATTTAACGTGCACCAGGTACATGTTGACATGAGAAGCTAGTTGCACCATACACAACCAGGTTGCAACCTGGGCCCAGAAATTTATCAAAATAATAAAACCTCAGATCTCTGATGTGAAGGGGTGGTCGGGTAGCCTAGTGGTTAAAGCGTTCGCTCGTCACGCTGAAGACCCAGGTTTGATTCCCGACATGGGTACAATGTGTGAAGCCCATTTCTGGTGTCCCCCGCCGTGATATTGCTGGAATATTGCTAAAAGCAGTGTAAAACCATACTCACTCACTCACTCACTCTGATGTGACATGACAAGATTTGTAGTATGTTAGTACTTACTGTTGCAGTACCTACGTGGCAGTGTGATCAATGGTAACCCCCATACACTGCATTATGAGTATCACAGGATAATCTAACTATCATGACGTGATACAGTGGTCAACTTCAATGATAGATGAAACTACAGTACAGAACGTAATCTTGTACCCACAGTCTGATGACGTCAAGCTCAAGAAAGCATGGCAAATTACTTATGATTCAGGGATTAGTTATGTAGTATGGTGAATAAAGCTTAGAGATATTGAGTGTGTTCAAAGACCATTGTTGAGTTGACAAGTAATGGTTAGTTTTTAAAAAATATTTTTGACATTTGGTGCATGTAGACATAAATATAAGATTCCATTTTTAAAAATGGGTAGCTCTGGTGCATGTTTTCTATAGCTAAGGCAAACCCTGAGCCCCACATTCTTGGTTATCTCTGTTTTTTTATTATTAGCCTGGAACCATTTGCCATCATAGGGCCTTATCTTTTTGTTTAGTTGGTTTACAAGGCTGACAAACCAAAAAAGCTCAAATATGATGACTTTTGACAAACAAAACATTGTTCGACTCTGTTTTACAATTTGGAGAATTGAAGACAACACAAGATTTTATCATCGCTGTAAGAAATGGTGAATATATGTCATGCAGGAACTGTAATTTGGTTTAAAGGGATGTAACTCCCTCACTGACTCCTTATGAGACCATTTGAGCACAAAATCATGGTGGTACATTATGTCAGCGCCCATGAAGATCCGGGTAGAATAGGTCTTCAGCAACCCATGCTTGCCGTAACAGGCGACTGTGCTTGTCGTAAGAGGCGACTAACGGGATCGGGTGGTCAGGCTCGCTGACTTGGTTGATGCATGTCATCGTATCCCAATTGCGTGAATCGATGCTCATGATGTCGACCACTGGATTGTGTAGTCCAGACTCGATTATTTACAGACCACTGTCATATAGCTGGAATATTGCTGAGTATGGCTTTAAACAAGAAACAAACAAACAAACAAAACACCAGACTCCTGTAGTGTGGACAGGAACATTACATGTGATGACTGACAGTTTAACTGATAGATATCTACACACAGTAACATGGGGCAAAGTCACATGGTGCAGAGCGGAGAGGGTTACCCCAAGGTCATTGTGTTGTTGATATGGTTTTTGTCATAGGCCATCTATCAGTTCTCACATTCACTGTGTATAACAGTTTATATACACAGACACTGGAAGTGAATATACGCCACGTATGATTGTCTATCTGTATGTATGACATGTCTCAAGTTTTACTGCTCACTTTGAAACATTGTTGCTATGGTAAATAAAAGACTAATTGCGCCAAAATCTTTATTGAATATTTAACTTTCTCTGGGATAACTTAAAATAAACATGAGTACATTTAGTTTTAATGTACTTGCTTATTGAATCTTTGAAAGTAATGCTGGATGTTTTTAAAGAACCTGATTACCAGTATTAGTTTCTGCATCTAGGGATTTGGTCCTTCCCCACACTGAAGCACATGCAGCACATGTGGTGTCTCCTTGGGCAAGTGACTTTGTTTGAATTGTGCCTCTGTTCACCCAGCAGTGAATGGGTACCCAGTAGGATGAGATGGCAATGTGGCTGTTAACCTTCTAGCACCTAACAGGCAGCTTGGGTTGTATATTCCTCAGGGAGCTGAGAATGATTTTTGAATGCACACATTGATCCATTGACCGGGGTAATAAATGTCTAAGCACTTAGAGCATGCTTATTTGGGAGTACAGTGCCATATCAATGGATTATTATTATTATTATTATCCCCCGCCACGAAGTGGAAGGGGGATATAGGAATGGGTGCCGTTCGTCCGTCCTTCCGTCCGTCCTTCCGTTACATTTCGTTTCCGGAGCAGATCTTGAAAACCGTACCATATTTCTTCACCAAACTTGGCACATAGATAGATCTAGTGGTGAACTGGTGCCTTTTGATAGTTTGGGATTTTAAAAAAAGTTATTTTTTGAGTTTCCATGGCAACGACTTTGATTTAGACTGAAAATGGCGGTAGTCCTCGTTTCCGGAGCAGATCTTGAAAACCGTACCATATTTCTTAACCATACTTGGCACATAGATAGGTCTAGTGGTGAACTGGTGCCTTTTGATAGTTTGAGATTTTTAAAAAAGTTATTTTTCGAGTTTCCATGGCAACAGCTTTGATTTAGACTGAAAATGGCAGTAGTCCTCGTTTCCGGAGCAGATATTGAAAACCATACCATATTTCTTCGTCATACTTGGCACATAGATAGGACTAGTGGTGAACTGGTGCCTTTTGATAGTTTGGGATTTAAAAAATTTTTATTTTTCGAGTTTCCATGGCAACGACTTTGATTTAGACTGAAAATGGCAGTAGTCCTCGTTTCCGGAGCAGATATTGAAAACCTTACCATATTTCTTCGTCATACTTGGCACATAGATAGGACTAGTGGTGAACTGGTGGCTTTTGATAGTTTGGCATGTTGAAAATAATATTTTTTGAGTTTCCATGGCACCGACTTTGATTTAGACTGAAAATGGCAGTAGTCCTCGTTTCCGGAGCAGATCTTGAAAACCGTACCATTTTTCTTCACCATATTTTGCACATTGATAGGTCTAGTGGTGAACTGGTGCCTTTGGATAGTTTTGAATTTTTTTTAAAAGTTATTTTTCGAGTTTCCATGGCAACGACTTTGATTTAGACTGAAAATGGAGGTAGTCCTCGTTTCCGGAGCAGATCTTGAAAAACGTACTATATTTCTTTACAAAAAGGCCCAGTGAACATAGTTCACAGGAGCTAATGCATTGCACACACCCGACATGTCATATTGGCAGGGGATGTGAGTATTTCATGCTTGTTATTATTATTACTATTATTATTATTAATATTATACCTGCACATTTTATTATCTAATTTACTGAGATCGAAAAGGTTAAAGACACTGTGATAAGGGTTGTGAGGATATATATTCTGTGATAAATTTAGCTGTAAGTATTTGATATTGTTTGAAAATGCATCATACAATTTTGTATTTGTATCAATTATTAAAAATGGTATTTGATACAAAAATGACAACATGTTTTCTCAAACAGAAGATTCGTAAGCAAATTTGTTATCACCTGCAGGAGTAGCTCTCTCTTCTTCCAACTGTAGATCAGACACATGTTATCTGTTTTGAAATATAATTTCATTTTAATCTGTTTAACTAGACAAAAGAAATGTCTACAGCAGATGGAGTCTTCGTGTGTGTGGCACAACAGACACATTTGTTTCTGGATGCTGGGTGGGTCCCTTCAGTATAAAATCATTCTGTCAGTGAAGTTTGTAACCCTCGTCTCATCAGCAGTGTTGGTTTTCCAGGGTCTGCGGACAGTGTTCCAGTGCACATGGCGCCGATGTGGTGAAGTCTGTAACACATTGAAAGATATTACAAAGCATGTACGGAAGACACATTTCAAGTAAGTCAGTTTTGATGCCATATATTGTTTCGATGAGTCTGTTATAACAGATATATTCCCTACTTTTCCCACATGTCTCAATGGAGCAGAATAGTGCCAGGTATCCAATGCTTGTCGTATGAGTAGACTGAAATAGTGATTGAAGGTAACAATGATTTGTGTGTGTCAGGTATTATAGTATCAATAGCATAGTAGTATGGTGCTTTTATTACTACTATGTGTGGACGTAGTCGCACATAGATGGGTCTAGTCGTAAACTGGTGCCTTTTGATAGTTTGAGGTTTAATTTTTTTTTATTTTTCGAGTTTCATAGCAACGACTTTGACTTAGATTGAAAATGCTGGTTGTGCTCCTTTCCTGAGCTGATTTTGAAAACCGTACAATATTTCTTCACCAAACTTGGCAAATAGATAAGTATGGTGGTAAACTGGTGCATTTTGATAGTTTGGGATTTTTGAAAAAATTATTTTTCAAGTTTCAATAGCAATGACTTTGACTTAGACTGAAAATGGCGGAGCAGATCTTGAAAACCTTACAAAATTTCTTGCCTTGCATGCAACTGAACATGTCATATTGGTGGGGGAAATGAGTGTTTCATGGTTGTTTTATTCAGCCGTGACAGTGACGAGGAGTTGTCCGACCAGGAGGAGGACTTCTATTACAATGAGGTTCAAGTCGAGATGGACAATGTCACGCGACAGTTTGCCGAGATGCATACATCCTCACCCCCTCCTCTCAGCAACATGGACTCTTCCAACAATGTCATACCTGTCGCCAATGTTGGGATATTTGACCATGATTATCAGAGAAAGGTAAGACCCTCATACTCTTCAGGCAAACAAAGTCTTTCTCATTTGTGCTTCATATCGCCCCAAGTGATGCATGTCTCAGATGTTTACCACATTGGTGAAACCTCTGACCCTGGGTGCTGACAAACTTAAAAAATAATCGGGGCGAACCAGGATTCGAACCCACAATCATAGGTTTCTTTTGTGCCCTAGGGACACAACACTGCACAGCGATTAGATAACTGGACCATCCGTGCCCCCTGATTATAGGACCAATAAAGTCAGAAATAACTTTAGTGCATTGTTTTACATTGTTGCACTGAATGCAGTGTTAAAGAGCCTAAATTTAAAAAGTAAGAACTTAATAAACAGCCAATTTTCAACAAAATACAGTGAACTACATTTATAACGAACACGCTTATAACGACCTGGCGGATATAACGGTTTTGCTGTATATATGCTGTATATATGCTTATAAAGAACTACTGTTATAATTACTAAATTTTGTGGTCCCTTAGAGTTCATTACAACCATAGTTTACTGTAATGAATAAGCAATGGTGCAGCCTGACCTCCTCACTGGATGATCCATCAGGAAGCTGTCCCTCTCTGTCACTGTCATTGTTTTGTTTCTCACACAGGAACATAAGACACCCTCTCACATCCTGGCCTCGTCGGTGCCATCTGCTGGGGACATAACAGGTCAGGGGACATCACTCCCAATTGTCATCCCAGAAGGTCAGATCAAGAGGTCGTTGTCATGGCAGATACAGTCATCATCACCAGGGAATGTGGTAAGAAAATATACATGCCATAAGTCCTACATGGAGAGTGGCTTTAAAGCTGACATGTGTCAACCTGAAATATTACTGAAAAAATGTTTCAAAACAGGAGTTTGATACACAGTGAAAACATTATCCTCAACTTCACTATTTATCATTAAAGATTATCTATCTCTAGAGATTCCATATCACATCTATATTCTGGGGAATGAGTGAGTTCAACACTGCTTTGAACAGTATTTTAGTTATATCACAGCATGCCAACTTAATGTGGGTGGAAAGCCCAAAGTGATGCAGGTTTTAGACACTTAAGTCTTTAGTGAAACCGACAAACATGGGTATGGTGCTGACAAACCAACAATCATCAACCCAAATAGGACTCAACACACAATCATTCTATCCTTGTATGCCTAAGGGGCACAACTCTCCACATGCAGTTGCAACTCATTGGAATACTTGTCACCTGTGCGCTGAAAAATATTTAAATCCAGATCAATATGCATGACGGATCTGGACTTACATGTAACTGGTTTTGAAGATTCCCATGACCCTAGGAATAACATGTATGTTTTGTTTGTGCAGGCATCCTCCCCAGTGAGGTTTTCCCGGCCAAGCGTCCAGGTACGTCTCCAGCAACACCAGGCTCAGTCTCCCAAGTCTCACATGTTCCCATCACCTCCAAAAGCTGGTGGAATGCATCGGAAGCCACGAAGTGAGGTCAGGAAATGTCGGAAAGTTTACGGAATGGAAAACAGGGATTCATGGTGTACTCAGTGTAAATGGAAGAAAGCATGCACCCGCTTCCTGGACTAAGCATCTCCTCCCCATCATGACCATAGTGACATGTCCATAGTGACATGACCATAGTGGCATAACTTTGTGACATGTCCATACTAACACGTCCATAGTGACATGTCCATAATGACACGTTTATAGTGACATGTCCATAATGACACATCCATAGTGACATGTCCATAATGACACGTCCATAGTGACATGTCCATAATGACACGTCCATAGTGACATTACTCTGTGACATGTCCATAGTGGACAGAAATGGACATTCTTAGAAGCGATGAATGCCTGAATGTTGTAGGTTTGTGAGATAACTGATTTCTTGCTGAGCCACAATCCTTGCTGAAGTCTGTATATATATATCCTTGGTAGTTGATGGTATACTCTTCCTGTCAATTTTACAAGAACACCTAATGCTGTTTATGAAATGAAACTTTACTTTGCAAAATCACAGGTGACTTCTCTTCAAATGGCTGTATGTATCCTTCGTAGTTGATTAGGTACTCTTCCTGTCAATATCCCCTCGACATACATCTCCCCAAGGCAAAGAAGTTAATTGCCTATACAAGTGCCGAACAAGGATGGAATTACGTGGCAGGATCATAGCACACCAATGGCTATTATGAGTTACGTCCCTTGCATGTCCCTCCTACTGACCAATCAGATTCCACCTCTCATATAACTTGCATTTACTTCAAACAAAATGGCGGCACCAATTCAAGAGGATCTGATCGAAAATCATGATATTTATTGTAATAAAACGGGTCTTACCTCACAAAATGCATCAAACCACTAGAGCACCTTCATTAAAAACATGAAAAGATTTGGAAAATAACTGTCAAAGCCAAGTTGATGGTACTCACAAGCTGAAAATTCTGCAATCATTCGAAATCTGCACTGAAGTTTACGAACCGAATGTCGATTTTGTTACACGATTTTTATTGGACTATGCATAGACTCGTTAGTCCAGCTAAATGGAACTCCATAATTCCAGCCTAGTTCAAGAGTTAAAACATTACTTTTTTAGTCAGTTAACTCAGTTGCCTTGGGCAGATGCCAGACACAGTGAATCTGAAAGTTAGCTTTGCAGAAGTACAGGTGACTTCTCTCCAAAGTCTTGAAACATCTTTCTTTCGCTCAAATATTTTCAAGACTGTATTATAATGCACTATCAGTCTCTCCATCAATATGTCCCTTTCTGAGAAGAACTATTTAAACCACATAATTTCTGACACCTCGGTAAATTTTTTAATAAAATTGCAAACGTCATGTTGCCATGTACCAGATTGATAGATTTTGGCACATGAAGTATTTTCATAATTTCTCATTTTACATTTTTAAGTTAATACCAAAATTGTTTCAGAACATAGCATTTTTCCCCCTTGGTTTTGGATAAGTGGGTTAAGAAGTAAAAACAAAGTGTGGCCTAAAATGGATGTGACTGGTAGATGAAGGAGTGAATGAGTGACCCTGTGACATTGTGTACAAACCCTTCAGTGATCTGAGTCAACATCTGGAGCCAGAGTAGGGCAGAATTGAATGATGATCAGTTGAACGTTAAACTAATGTTTCGTCATATTATTTTGAACATTCTTAAAAATCTACTTTTTTTGTTTCATTGAAACAGTCTTGATTTGAAGACTAATGTTTTGTCAAGGTATGGGAACTAAACATATTTCACTCAAAACATCATTTGGGCCTTCTCCAGTGTAATTAAACTTATGTGGTTGTCATACCTATATTGGTATATATCAAGCATCTGCATTAAAACCTGCATTTAAATGAAGGGTCTCGTTAGACATGAATATCAAGATGCTTCACATTTCTTCTGCTTGGCGATAATATATATGTTTTGGTTAACATTCGCCCCTGTTTCTACCTGGCCTGAAGGTGTGAGGCTACACAGGTGAAAGGCATGTCAAACAGGTGTTGTTGTCGTAAGAGGCGGCTAACGGGATCGGGTGGTCAGGCTCGCTGACATGGTTGATGCATGTCATGGTATGCGTGGATAGATGCTCATGATGTCGATCACTGAATTGTCTGGTCCAGACTTGATTATTTACAGTCCGCTGTCATATAGCTGGAATATTGTTGAGTGCGGCGTTAAACAATCGAACAGGTGTGATGTACTCATTACCGGTAGATGTATTATTTCACACACAGTCAGTAGATAAAATATTTTTATACATGACTTTTTATCAAAGATAAATTTAAAATTTAGGGTCAACAGCATGTACATATTTGAAAAATGTTAAAATTGAAGTTGGATGGCTGTATCTTAACCTCGCCATTCGTCTGCTAGGCATATGAAGCACCAACAGGTGTTTAGATACTGTAGCCAAACCTTTAAGCCCAGAACATTTTGTGTTGCTTCAGTAAGTAAACCCGTGATGGTGAATTATTTTAGGTTGAAATTAATATGAAAGATATTTTTAAAGCTCTATCTGTAAATAAAGTTAATAGTTCCACTTTAATGCAGCGAAGTTTTCTTTGCACATGCAAAATCAATAATACTTTATGATTAATTGTTGAATAGGTGACTTAAATACCCAAATAGCCTCCAACGACACTACAAAAATATTATATGATATGAGTGTTTACATGCAAAAGGAAACTAGTATCAAGGGTGTGTGCTGTCTGGTTCGAAATATTCACCAAATCAACTATATAGCACTTACTGTATATATGTAAATATAAGTTTGTGTGTACATATGGATACAGTATGGAACATTAAGTAGTATTTAACCTAGCTAGTGGGTAGTTAGTAGTGTAAAGGAAGGGACCTTGAGATATATGACTTTTAAACCATATGCAACTGTAACATCAGGTGACATTTCACACAAATGAAAAAACTTACAACTCTTGTCATGGTTGAGAACAATACCCATAAAATCTTATTTTTTATCATCTATCACATCACATGTCTGAAAGTGACCTTACAATGACCTTTGACCTTTTGACCTTTATAATTTACTATAGCCCAGGGAGTCTCATCTTGTGAATATGCATGAATCATCTCAGACATATATATATATATATATATATATATATATATATATATATATATATATATATATATATATATATATGTCTGTTTGTGTAATAAGACCTGTAACATCTAAGTATTCTATGTCTGATATATTCATATGTGGGTATCAATTTATTGTGGTCCATATCGGCTTCTTCTGGTAGGAGTTTCTTGCTGTGTGAAGTCAATCTCATTAAAATCAGATGTTTTACAAGAGTTTGAATCAGGATAAAAGATCTGATTTTAATGAAATTGTGTGACAAGTATTGTGATTGTTTTGTTACCTGTTTTTGTGCATGAGACAAGCTATTATTGAATGTTGTGTTATTTGATTTCCTGTCTTCCAATATGCTGACTATCAATATATATATAATGTATTTGATTGATAAAACATGTTTTTATTAGAAAAAAGTCTGTGACAAAAAATAAGGAAAGGTAAAAGAAAATCTCAATCAATATTTTCTCAAATTGATAAATTGGTATTTTGAAGAAACAACTCAGGACAAGATGCCGAGTCAACTGATTATGCATAAGTTCACAACTTGCGTCAGATCTCAAGGAAAATACTATGTACATTATAAGCATTACACTGAAATTGTAGGCGAACCTTTTTCCTGGACTGATGATTGTATTTTTCCCTTTGCTGGTGACTTGTTCATGTAGACATTTGTGTTGTTTTTTCTTTAACTAACAGTTTGTATTAGTGTGTATCTTATTAATAAGAATGTAATGTAATACTTAAAATATCCAATGCTGTTAATATCTTGCATATTCATATGACGTTTGTTATGGACTTTATGTTGAAATAATTCATTAATTATTTGGATTTGGAGCAAATCATGATTTGTTTTTCTGTTTGCAATCAGACAAAATATTATTGTTACATTGACATATTTGTATTTTATGCTTAAACCCTGAGAATTCATGTAATATTATAATATTTATTTCAGGTTCTGTTAAAATAAACACATTTCCGAAATGTGTATTAGAGATTCAAAGTTCAGATACAGTAATATGGAATATAGAGTACATATTGTGCAAGAAAAGAAACAAATGTTGCGATACAATCTCATTAAAATCAGATCTTTTACTAATAAGACCTGAATTCAGTGAGAACACATCCGATGTTCCATGCCTCTATTTCAAGCATGGGCTAAGGGAGATAACTCAATGCAACTAAATGTTCTAAATGTTTATCAATACATCAGGTCGATGGTATAAACCTCTGTAATCTGTCTGTGACACTTTTGTGTTACTGAAGTGATATTTCAATGTGATAACAACTCTCAATTTTATCATTTAGCTTGATATATAGGCTAAACCTTTAAATTCCACCTATCATACTATTATCACACAGAAGCACATGGTGTATTTAATTGCAGTTTATAGATAAGCTTTAGTTGTATATATTGTATATAGACTATAGTGCTTATTATGGGGGTTCTTGCCTCATTTCTGTATGGCTGTGAATTGTTAAAGATATTTTACTATTGTACGCGTGAGTACTTTCGTTCAGGTAGCATGCGTGAACTTTGTTCATATCCTGGTTTTAGCATAGATAAAGGTTTTGACCAATGAGTGATCGTCATTTGATCACGTGGGTCTCGATAACCGTGTTAAAGGCTAATTGTATATTTCACAGGATTGCGTGCGACATGTGCTTTTCATGCAACATGTGGTATTTGGCTGTAGAACTGTGACAATATTTGTTTAGGACGAAAGGTATTCTATTCGGATATAAGTCTCTGTGTCCATTAGCAGTACAGCTCCAATAACAATAAATAATGATAATAATAAATGCATGTGTATAGCACAGCATTCACTGTGCATCAGTGCTCTGTGCGCTGATAATATACACTGCTGATAATATTCATTAAGTAGTTATCCCTTATGCACAGATTCAAACAAGAATAACAAATGTCTGTTTTCAAAGTGTTTATATTATTTTATGTATTTCTGAAATTAATTTAAATTTACAAGCTCTTCATCTGCCGTTGAAACGTTGCATTTAGAGTGTCCTGATGTTGAAACTTCACTTTTTTTGCTGCATAATCTCCATCAATGTCGATACACCAAACAACGGATTATAATGTGTTGTGTTGCGATTCTCAGATGGTTTTAAGTAGTTACCGATAGCAGTCTTGATCGTGTCTAATCAAACTTATTTTTCGTTTTGTTATGAAAACATGGCTTATTTGTATGTCAAGTGACATAGCCGATCACACACCTGTTTGAGTGTGTTGAAGTATGGCCGTGGTCACCTGTTTGATCATGACACCAACTTTTCAGTTGTTACTTTGATCTTGGAACTATGACGGTATAGGTCCTTCTTTTTAGGGGGATAAAATGGGTATCAAAGTAGCTGTGTAAATAAATAAATAAATAAATAAATAAATAAATCGTATCCCAACAGACAATAAATAAAGAAATAAAGAAAACGTATCCCAACAGACAATAAATAAATAAATAAATTTAATTAATGGATAATTAAATAAATAAAAGATAGTACCCCAACAGACACAGAGAACTTACTCCTTTTGTTCTTTACAGTGTAATATTAAAATATTAAGTACAGCTTACGATGCGTAGCTGGTTCTTTTATACAGAACCGCTAGTGGCGTTGAATTATGAACTGATGTGTCCGCGGAAACAAAACAAATGCGAAATATGAAAAATATTTCCACATATTTTTAAGAAGGAAGCGCGAATCTGTGATATAATGAATAAAAAGGTAAGCCTGACCACACAAGCGTTCCTTTCTGCAGAATCAATACACTATATTCCCCAGTTAGCCCTTTCACTGAATTGTTTAATGTCAGCATGAATTCATTGAACTTTTCGAAAGATGTAATGTCCGTTTTGAAATTAATTATTTACATTTCCCATGTTGTACAATTCTTGTTGAGCATTTAAGAAGATGTAGTTTTGTTTTGCTGTTTTGACACAAACAGTTTGTACGTGGACGTGTTCTGTTTGTTGTGTTGGTGAGTCCGCGTCACTCTGTGGCGGTTGTCTGTACACCTGTCCCTGTCGTCCGTGTATCCTGTACATACATAGTAGAGCATTATCACGCTATACATCTAACTGTGCGAAACAGATTTGGAATAAATATTTTCAACCATATTGGGTTTATGAATTGTTTGTAAGTTCTGTAATGATAAACTTTGTCTCGGTTCGGGACACTGAATTTTGTCGGTGATTATTGTTCAAGGTCTCTTGAACAATATTTCAGGAATGTTAGTTTAATATGGGAGGAAATCACGATTTTTCAGGTGAAAGATGTTTTCAACGTCGGTAATACCTCCCGTCAAGGGTCGGCGGGGTACATTGTGGTTATAGCATTAGCTCGTCACGTCGAAGGCACGGATTCGATTCCCGACATGGGTACAATGTGTTCGGCCCAATTCTGGTGTCCCCCGCCGAGAGTTTGCTGAAATATTGATAAAAGCGGCGTAAAACCACACTCACCTACGAGAACGACCAAAGATCATGATCGGAGCGAATCTGGGATTTGAACGCTCGTCCTGTGGATCCTGACACGGTGAAGGGAGGCCACTCAGCACTTCTTGGTCAACCATGTCATGTTCATGAGGCGTATTACATCATCAAAGACCATAAGTGATTCAACTAAACCAAAATACATATTGTAAACTTGATTTCATTAAACCACCAATAACTATTAGAACTGTAGCATATACTGGCAAGATACCATCCCTGTTAGAACGTAATAGAGTGAGTATGGTATTACGCCGTTTTTTACCGGAGAGGTTCACCAGAAATGGCCTTCGGCGTGACGAGCGAACGCTTTAGCCACTTGGCTAACCCATCGCCCAAACGTATTACAGGATAACCATCGGAGAATCCCCAGTGGATTTGTGTGGTGAGCCCTGATACTTCCAACTGTACTCGCGGGGAACAGATCTATGATTGGTTGTTATATATATTACCAAAACTATTCATTTCGGAGAAAATGTAGGGAAAATGTAGATTACCAGTGGAGGCATCAGTTCATTCAAATTAATGTTTTAACGACGTCACTCAAGAACGTCTGTGGCGTCTAAACGTCCATGCCGCCGTCTTAAGTTATTTCAGGCAATGCATTGATATGACGTCATACTGCTATGGACCTCAAACCAATGAGGACGAAATGTATGAAGCTGGTATTGCAAAATAATGCATTGATAGTAGAATATGAAATGACTATACATGTAGTTATGTACAATACGTAAATTGTGTATAATGAAAATTGTTTACAAACGAAATTTTCAACATCGTTTAAGCTTTGTCTACATGAAAATACCAACAACACTCTTGATTTGGACATTCATAGCTGCTTTGTTTCGTGCAAAGAATTACGTTTCTTAAATGTTCATTTTTCGGTATGTCATGGGTGATTAATCACAAATAATTTACTTTTCCTAATAAATCTGTAATAAAAACGATTGATATGCAAAGCGGAAAAGCATCCAGTTCCCCAATCTTCACCCGGCGTGCATGTCAGGTGCACAACTCGTGAAGATCCGGGGCCGTATTTATCAAACAACTTAAGTCATAAATAAAACTTAAGTCAGTTAAAAAAACTTAGTTTTCTTGTTTTTTTACTTAAGTTTAGTGGAAAAACTTAAGTCATATTTATCAAAAGACTAAGACTTAAGTTTTGTCATTTTTTGACTTAACTATTAAGACTCACCTTGCTAGGCTTAAATCATGTATGTTTGACTTAAGTCATGTAAAATGGCTGCCAGACGCAATTCAAGAATATTTAATGAGAGAAGAGATATACTACATTCATTAGATGACAATGAACTGATACAGCGGTACAGATTTGATAGGAACAGTATTGTTTATATCTGTGATATCCTTGAACAGGAGTTGAGTCCTATAACACAGCGGAGTTGTGCCGTGTCCTGCGTTACGAAGGTGCTTGTCACTTTGCGTTATCTTGCCACTGGCAAGTTTCAAATATGTAACGGTGATGACCATGGTCTGAGCCAACCCACTATATCTCGGGTGATTTTCCAAACGC